CCTGCTGAAGGTAACCTGGCCGCTGCTGCGGTTGCCCTGTGTGTCTGTCCCTCAATTACAGTTCCAAAGAGATAGGGAGACTCTTGGGAGGGGCAGAAGCCTGAGGACAGGAGAGTTCATTGTTTAGCTGCATCCAGGAGCAAAAGACACTCTGCTGTGAATGAAGAGAACCTGTGTTTCCAGGTCGCTTTCCCCTGGAAAGGTTCAATACATCTTATAACCATTATCACTTCATTCCTCATAATATCCGCGTGAAGTGGGTGTCAATTGTTGTGTGGCTTTTTAGCAGATGGAGAAACTGCAGTATAAGAAGACTGGTTAAAGTCAGCCCAGGCTAAAGAAAGGATCTCAGTTTCTAGACTCCCAGTATCAGCACGGACATCAAACTGCACTGATGCCTGTTTACAGATTCCTAACGTGGAATGAGATGTTAAACTATGAGGGGAAGATCAAAGCACTAACTCCATCTGCCAGAAACAATTTTTTAAGGTAGTATAAGTAGCCTTACCTCCCAAGGAAATTATGGGAGACTGTTTGAAAATGCTGAACTTTCAGGAAAGAAATGGGCTGTACGTTTTATGAAAAAATACGTACATAATTTTGGCTGTTTTGATCATAATTACTGAGATGACAGTACAGGTGAATTTTTAGTTCTGAACTTGGATATATAGCAGTGGTAAAGCTGAAAGCTGACTTTTTCAAATCAAGACACTCAGAGTCAAAGCCAACGGTGAATTTTTCCCCTCTGAGGTCATGTGGCTTAAATAATCACAACTGACAAGCAGAAGCATTTCCACTTCGCTGGGATCCAGAACTTACAGGAAATTACTCTTCTGCATGTCTGATCACTATGGAAATTGATTTTATACAGATAGCTAAAAGTACACAGACCCATGACTGCACGCCCTCCATCTCTGTACTAGTGAGCGGTACTTCTGCCTCATTACTGAGACCTCCTGGGTATTTGGAACAGCAGGTTGTTTTACCCTCTGGCTGGAGAGTTCCCTTGCTGTACGCCTACGTCCTGAAAGGCAACTCTGAGTTTTAGGAGTGGGTCTCCAGACCCTGTGAGCTCTAAATGTGGTCACGTGTAGTTAATGCTGCCAGGGAGAGAATATGCTGGCCATCCTGCACGATGCTGGCTAGAAAAATCATCTGTGTTTAAGGCTGCGAAAGCGACCAGTTGCTCCTCTCGTCGTAATATTACAGTACCTAGAAACAGACCCAGGCGTGCGAGAAAACAGTATTGCCTGTGGTGTATTTCTTCTTCAGTTGATCTCTGGGGTGGAGTGGCAAGGATGGGGAACTGACTATTAACCATATCTGCTGCTTGTGCCTATCAACTTGTTGCTGATCAGGAGAAAGGTCTTTATCACTCTTGGCTCTGTCTTCGGCCTCTTGAGATTCTAAAGATCACATTCTATCTGCGCCTCTAAAGGAAAGCGCAAGGCCCGGGATGTTCCCAGGAACTAAGAGAAGATGGCAAGAATTTGGCAAGTACAGTTCTAGATGGATGAAGGCTTTAGGAGCTTCCATGCTCAGGGTCTGAAACGGAAAATGCTCTTGTTCTGGAATGCAACTTACATTCTGTATGGGTTTTTAAATTTTAGTAATTTACGTTTATAAGTTCCCTCCCTATGTGGGGGGATGCAAATAGTGTATGCCTCAAAGCTTTGCACATGGTTACTTCTCTTCTTGATCAGAGCAAGTCATTTGTGCTTGGGTAGATAATGAAAATTGCTGAGGTAACAGTTACAAACGAGTACTCCCTAGCTTCGTGTGGGAGGAAAAGTACTGAATTAAAACAAACACGTGAATGCGCACTCACAAACAACAATAACCGATGAGCAAAGAGAGAACCCGCAGCTGTTGATACCGCTGGCATATCAGGTGGGCAAGGCATGTTGGATAAGGTGCTGTTCTACCAGGGCAGACAGGCACCCAGGATTTGTTTGAATCTCCTTCTGAGCACTTCTAGCTTTTTCTTTCCTTGGTCTCATCAGCATTTAAACTGAAACGTCACACTGAAGATGTCTAAAACATGACTTCTCATCTCCGCTCTT